ATGTTTTCTTTCATTTTCTTTTGTAATTTCTCTATCTGCTGACATTCTCAAGGCTTTTTCCTATATTATTTTTCTGATTTTTTTCTTTAGTGCTTGGCCCATGCCTTCTCTATTCTCTTTGAATATTTTTAGACTTGTTGTAGAGGCATTTATTTTCTAGTGAGATAATGTCCATCTTTCTCGGAATCAGTTTCTACAGTTTTAGTGTGTGTGTGTGTGTGTGTGTGTGTGTGTGTGTTGCATGAACAAATGCATGTGTGGGTATGTGTGCAATTGGGTGAATAGACTGGGTATCTTCCTAATTTTGTGTATGCCCTCTGAATTTTTTTTGGTGAAAGTGAAATATTTGAAGGAATAGTTTCCGTTATCAATCTTTGTAGTCTGGCTCTAGGCCAAATAACTCTTTAGGAAGATATGCTTTCAGCCTAAGAATCAGCCTGAGATGAAAACTGACTCCTTTCTCTGGTCCTTTCTGAGCAGGAACCCGTCTGAGCCTTTGTGTCATATTTTTTAATCTCCCTTGCCATGGTTTGAGTAATAGTCTATGTCTTTTTTGTCAATTCCCCTGTTTCGGGTGTTACTGAAAGTTAGTGGAATTTGTAAGAGTTAGGACTTGTGAGTGGGCAGCAGTCATTAGAAGCACTGCATGTCAAAGATAATACTGTAGTTCATAGATAACACTTGCTAGCCCCTGTAGAAATGTGCTATTAAGTATAAAAAAATTAAGCCTCTTCCCTGGATATTTTTGACTTTGGGTTTTAAGAGGATATACTTAATATAATCTCCTAAGTATATCCTCACGCCATTTTACTACCACCATAAGGCTCTCAGCAGGTCCCAAACAAATAGAACCATTAAATCCTACTTTCATCTACACGTCCAAAATGTGATCTCAGTTAACCTCATTTCTATATACATAACTTTCTCTGGTATTTTGTTTTAGCAATAGAAAACAGACTAAATAACCATTATGAATAGTGTATTGATGCCTAAAATATCTTAATTTCTCCAAAATTCTTTTTTTATATTTTATTTAGTATTTTTATTTTATGTGTATGACTGTATTGTCTGCATGTGTACACTGGTGTCACACGATACCCTAGGAGATCAAAAGAAGGCATTGGATCCCCTGGAACTGGAGTTACAGATAAAGGGTTGTTGGCTGTCATGTGGGTGCTAGGAATCAAACCCTAGTCCTCGGCAAGAGAAGTTCAGGCTCTTATCCACTGAGCCATCTCTCCAGACCAATTTCTCCCAAATTCTAACCCTAGCATCTCTTCTAAAACTTTCTCTACTGAAGATCTTCACTTATAACGATTTTCTCTGAACACTGAGATACTCTTTGTCATCCAGTGGTGTTCATGGGTAGCATCTTTTCACTAATCATTAGTGATTCTTTTCACTATTCTAGTGTTTGAGTTCCAATGTAGCCAAACAGAGTTAAATCCTAAGGCAGCTCTCAGACAAGTTAGAACATTACAAGTAATATCTCCTTTGATCCCTCTAGTTGAAGTGAGGAAATTTGGAGCTGAGCTGTGACTTCCTGCGGATCAAAACCACACAGTGCTAAGGAGGGACTTGGTCAAGCTTAAACAAAAACACTGCAAAATTTCCTACTGTTTCTAATGTGGGTCTTTTGTTGTTGTTCTTTACTTAATTGGATGTTCAGTAGGTTTATATGTAACTTTGTTTCCTTTCTAGAGTTCTCACCCAGTTGCTTTTGTCAGGCCTACTTTATTATTTTTTCTTTGCATGTGTATGTGTATCTATAAGAGAGCAAATTTTCAGCTCTTCTTCATCCACACTTTTCTGATATAACACTCTGGTTTGTTTTATGTTCATAAATGCTGCATGTCTAAAAAAAAACTGTTGAAATTTTCTGCAGTGAAAATCTTTTTTTTTTTTAATTTTTGCTTGTATTTATATCAGGTTTTCTTCTGAATATTTTGAAGACATTATTTGACATCTACATAATTAGAATTGCTATATTTTGGGAGTGTATTAGATATTGTATCACCATGTGATTAACATTCTTTCCCCATTGTTTATCTGCATGCCATGTGCCATAAAAGTAACATATCTTATTTCCATTTGTAATTTTATGATATGCTGACTTTGACAGTTTTAATCTCAAACGTTTGTGTCCTCACTATGTTTTATTTCCTTACAGGGAATATAAGACTGTTTTTATTACTGACATTTGGAGGAGACTGTTTGATTTTGTTATTTATTTTCCTTTCAGAGACAAGGTAACCCTGTACTCACAGTTAGCCTGGAACTCACTATGTAGACCAAGCTAGTCTCAATCTCACAGAGATCTGCCTCTGCTACTTGACTACATCTGGCCTTATTATCAATATTTTTGTTACTATTGTATATGCTACTGTTTTACAACTGAAATGAAAAACTTGAGCTATTTATTATACATATACTCAAGCATTTAGTCTTGTTTATATTATTGTAGCTTTTTAAATAGAATTTTATGCAAATTTTTTCTAAAACTTGATGTTTATTACACACCTACCCCACAGAGATACACACATACACACAAAAAAAACCCACCACAATTTAATAAGTACAGATATCTCCACCAAATGTCCATGCTCTCTTACTAATTGAATAATAATGTTAGATGCTTTAACATTCTTGATTTGTTAGGTAGTATGCATGTTAGGCAACTATCGATTCCATCATTTCCTTTTCTTCTCTGTTATGAGCTGTATTTGTTTTGATTTGTTTTGTTTTGTTTGTTTTGCTTTGTTTTGTTTGGGATGATCTTCCTTAGCCCCAGCCCACCTGGAACTCACTATGTAGACAAGATTGCTTTGATCTCACAGAGATCTGGCTGACTCTGCCTCCTGAGTGCTGGGATTAGAGGTGTGCAATACTATGCCCAGTTTATGAGTTGTATTTTTAGAAAGAATGGTATGAACTTAATTGTTCAACTTTGCTTGGCCTGTTGCCTAATGTAACTCCTTTATTTTTCTGAGCATTTTGTTAGAGCCACCAAAAAAGTTTTTATGGTACATATTTTTGTTTCAGATATCTGATGTCTTCATCCCTGTGTTTTAAGGATTAACTTTTTATATGACTCCTAATTGTTTTCCCAAGTTTTAATATTTTCTATGTCTAATTTTATTTTGTCACTTACTTTTTTAATCTGGGGGATGCTTATTAATCAGTATTATTCACTGTAGTTTATTTTTCATCCATATTTATTCAACTCTGTATCATTCATTATATTTTCATTATAAGGATTATGTTTCTCATGAGTAAAATGATCATGAATTCTTATTCTTTCACAACACTAAAATTTTTCCTTTATAATTTTCAGGATATATGGCTTATCATAGATTTTAATAACCATTTAAAACAGTAGTATCACCATATCCTAGTATATTTGCAGTGCAATTATGTTTTTAAAAGTTACTATGTTTCTTATATTTCTATTTTGGCCTGTGACACCTACATAAGTCTGAAAATGTACATCACACTTCAAAGTTTAGTCAGACTGTGATCTGTGTCTCCCACATCTTTCCTCCAGTAGTAAACTCAAAGAGAAGCAAGGGTGGATCATTTGAGTGAGGTGCTCCTAGTACAGAGAAATGATTCTCAGGTACTCCAGTTTTATATCCCCCTCCAGGCAGTTCTTTAAGTAAAGCCCTTGCCTTTGGAACCTGAAGGGAGAGATGTATTTGGAAGAGTTGTGCCCTAGATCAGCAGTTGACAAAAAAAAAAGAAAAGAAAAAAAAAAGAAAGGAAAGAAGGAAGAAAAAGAAATCCAATGGGACTAATACAGACCAGACTTGACCTAGTTTTTTCAGGTCCTTCCCGATGACTAGTTTATATATTTTTAAAGGATTATAAAAAATATAAGAATAGTATATGACAGAAATCTGTGTGGACTACAAAATATAAACTATTTGCTATCCCGCCCTTCCTGAGCTATGTCCTAGATAACAACCAAGCAGGTCTGTGAGGTTGGAGATGGAAAGAAGTGAACCCTCAGTGCTAGTTAAACTCTTTGCAAGAGAGTTTGTTCATTAACTTTCCAAATGAACTAAAGGAAGGTCTTTCCACAGAATTCCATAATGTTGTTAGAGCTGTTATTTGACAGGGAAATGACAGGAGAGATTGAAAAATGAAATTTCTTTTCCCCTAATATATTCACCTCTGCATTTTCCAGATATATGTGCAAAACCTCATACTTCCTTTCATTCAAAATGGCTCCCATTTCACAATGAACTTCTTTGCAGTTGAGATTTATTTTCCTATCAAAATTCCTAAAGCCAGAGGATGTAAGGCAAAAGGTTAGCTCTTGGAGCTACCTACAAATGGGCTCCCAAAACAAGGCATAAAGAACAATAAATGGTGGTGGTAACACTCATCTGGTGTAGTGGGAAAATTTTGTACCTGATTTTATCCTTACAATGTACTATTTCCTGTTTCTTACCAGCTTTATAGGAAACTCATGTAGGTCACGTGGTTTCCAGGAATTCAGGCTCTGTAATCTGAAACCCATTATGCTAATGAGGCATCCTACCCGCTATTCTGTGATAGGATGTTAACTCTGTTATGCTAATAAGGTATCCTACTTGCTGTACTGTGATAGGATGCTAAACCTGTTATGCTAATGAGGTATCATACTTGCTTTGCTGTGATTGGACCACTACCCCTATATAAGCTTGTGCCTTCCTGCAATAAAGCAGATCTGTTTCACTGAACCTGGTCTCCTGTGTCTGAATGCGGCTCCGCTGATACAGTCTCCTCACCAGCCGTGGGGTCCAGGACCAGGCAGAAGCAGCGATGACAGAAGGAGGCACCAGACAAGCAGAAGAGCAGCCTCAGTCCAGGGCGAGTGGAGGAGCAGCCTCGACGCCCATGAGAACAGAGGAGTGGCTGCCGCTGGCGGTGACCACAATCTGGGCCAGCTAAGGAGACTGAAACATGATGTGAACATAATGGTGATGGTCAACTGGTGGTTAAGATCAAAATATTAAAACATTTATGTGTGTGTGTGTTCAACTTTTGGACAAAGGCATGAAGGACAAGTGCAGAAATAAATCCTCTTGCAACCAAGGACTCTTTGTTCAGGATGAGTTTGGTACATATAAGTAGGAATATGATGAAACAGCTCAACGTTATGGTGTTTAGAGAAAAGATGACATAGAAATGAGTGAAATCTGGGCTCATGGACTCCAAAGAGAGTGAATGATGCAGTGGACCATGAGAAGAACCTTATTACCTGACTATAGGTGAGACCATATTGATCTCAAAGTTCTGAACTCAGGACTTGGCAAGTATCAAAGAAAATAATTAGATAGGAAATATGGTGACACAGCCACAGCAATGGCATCAGTGGTGACTCTCAGCACAAGGACTTCAAACATGAATCCAGGCCTTTTATTTGCAGGTAAATGGATGGAACTAGAAATTGTTATACTAAGTGAAGTAATACAGATCCAGAAAACCAATGAATGTATGTTCTCTCTCATTTGTGGATCTTAGGTCCATATCCTTAGATGTGATTATATATCCTAAAGCACCTGAAAGAGACACAAAACTGGAAATGAATCATGGAGTTAAAGGGAAAGAAACAGCCTGAAAGAGGGGGGTAGTAGGAAACAGATGTTGCCTAAGGGGAAATGTGGAAAATGGGGATATTCAACTGAGAAGGGAGGAGTGTAGGATACACAAGGAACCATGGGAGGAGGAAGAAGATCTCAAGTGAGGGGGAAAATAGGAGACAGGTATTATCAAGGGGGAAATTGGGGCACTTTAACTGAGGAGAGAGGAGGAAGGTCTATACAGGAAGAGAGGCAGGAAAGATAACTAATCCATAAGTGGTATGAAAAACCAGAGGGAAATGTACTCGTTCCAAAGCCTACTGAAAAATGCAGATACAGTAGCTATACATGAGTGCATGTGTTAACCTGAATGCAGTATAATAAGAAAAACAGTGTCAGGCAGGAGAAATCTCCCTTTGAATTGCTGGTGAGGGTAGTCCAAGGGATTCCCAAAACAAGAGAGGCTTTTGACACAACCTTTGATTGCTTCCTAGAACTTGTTTGTAACACACTATTGCTGAAGATAGGACATACTTCAGATATAGGACTTGGAAAAATGGAGCTAGAACTGACCTCGAAGCCTGAAGACTAGCTCTCGTAGTTTCAGAGGATACTATGCAAGCTGCTAAGGGAGAAAATCAACCAGTGGTCCAACCCCAGCTTTAAATTCTAATAACCAAACCAATGACAATCCCAGCAAATTATATAGGTAGAGTAGTGGCACTTTTATCTTTTTGGTAATCAACAGCTATCTAATTGGACTTAAAGCCTGCTCAATGGGAGGGAACTCATGTGTGGTACTGGAAACATAGCCAAATACACATGACTATGGAGGTTATAGATCCTAGAGAAAACAGTACATTTGTCACATCCCTAGACAATTTCTTACTGCATTCTAAATGTGTATCCTTATATTTACAGACAAATATACCTGTCACTATTCATCAAAGGAGATTATATTTGCCCAAGATGGAGACTACTACAGAGTTCCACAACTGGTCAAATACAAAGAATATGTGTTTGTGAGATTCCCAGCCCTAGAGTAACACATCTATAATAGAATCTCTACACCTAAGACTCATGGAACATAGTAGAACAGGAAGTAAACAGAATATTAATGCGTCTCTCAACTCTTACAAGCAAAGAGGGTAATTAACACAGAAGGCAGCAACTGGATAAAGTTTAGAGAATAAGAGACTGCAAAGTGCATATCCCTGGATAATCCTCACTCACTCAAGGCTCAGGGACGAATAAGGAAGAGGGGATGAAAAGATTGTAAAAGCCAGGGGTGATGGATGACCACAAGAGTGACCACAGTTTTCCAGGATTCTGGGAACATGCTCATATGAATGCATAGCAATGGCAAAACCATGCACAAGACCCATGCAAACTCACACCAGAGAAAAACAAAGCATAGAACTAGGAAAATATGCAGAAGGTACAAACTTAGCAGAGGGACCTTTGGCAGCTGAACACTGCTGAGTGAGAGAGACTTGGTATTTAAGGAAGTGACACTAGATAAGCTCACAAGGGTTCAGTGAATGAATTTACACTGACAGATATCTTGGGACACAATCTTGACTTGATAGGCCTTAACATACTTGACAGAATGAATGAAATCTGATGGGGAATTCTGGAGGTACAGATAGATTAAACTGTATTAAATGCACAAAAAAATCATTAAAAATATATATGAAAAAAAAGAATCTTGATGCTTCTGTATTGATCTCAAAATTCTGAAGTCAGGACTTGGCAAGTAAGAGGGAGCCAAGATGGCAGAGCCTTGCCAGCCTGCAGGCCCACACACAGAGTGGAGTTACTCTGGCCTTGCCTTGCATGCACATTGGCAAGGTTGAGTAGGGTTGGCCTGGCTACACATGTGCACCAGTGAGACAGAGCCATGCCAGCCTGGCCATGTACGCACATTGGCAGGTAGAGCCAAGTCAGCCTGTCTTCCCATGGGTCCTGTGGTACCCATAGTCAGCAGACCATCATTGTCACTCAGTTGCTATCAAGACCTGGCTTCAGTGTTCAACAACATTAGGATCTAAAAAGTCTACAGACTTTAGAAAAGAAACTAGAGGATACTGGTGTAAAGCTGTTCTGTGAAGCAGTGAATCTTCCCATCTGCCATCTCATTAAGACACTAGATAGTCTGCTCATCTCCTTAACATGACTTAAAGTAAACCTATCTTCCCAGGGGTGGTCTTGTGACCAGGTGATCTGGAAAATTTGAAAATTTGTGTCTTCATCCAGGCAAGAGATTCTTATACTCTTGACCAGATTTCTCTTATAGGACTTTTTTGTTACTGTAACAATTGCTCCTTCATTCAACCCAGTCTTTTTCATGAGTGTGTTCATAGCTCCCTTGCTTGCTGTAATTAAACTCTTGACTATTTATAAATGTGTCCCTTTGTTTTTTAAACATATTTTATTTATAGCAATATAATTTACATATTAAAAGACACTATAATAGAATTATTTGATAGTTTTAAGCATATTTTAATTACTTTTTCCTAGTGGGTCAATGTTACAAGTATAGTCAACATATTCAGTGACCAGCTATATGTATTTTTTATTGCACAAATGTTTATGGCATTAAAGTGTAAGCACAACTTTCACAATCACTGCCTTAAAGAAATGACATATGCTGGATTCCATTGAAATACTAAAACAAAAAAAAACAAAACTGTTTTTGCTACTTTAATATCTAGAAACACGACCTCACAAATGGGGAGGGGCACAAACCTATGACTAAGTTGAAACTAAAATATGAAAACCTTTATATCCTCTTCCATGACTCTTCTGCCCTTTTGCATCCTCTCTTTTCATTCTTTCATGACATAATACACTTCCTTGGCTTCCTTTCTAAAATTTTCAGCTTTACCTATACTTATACCTGTTCGAATATATGCATGAATGTATTATAGACCAGGATCCACATATGAGGGAGAACACGCAATTTTTTTTCCTTTCTGAGTTTGGGTGACCTTGCTATTATGCTTTCTAGGTCCATCCACTTTCCTGAAAATTTAATAATTTCATTTTTCCTTAAAACTGAATAATATTCCATTGTGCATATGTACAATTTCATTGCCCATTCATCTATTCATGGACATCTACTCTGGTTACTTTGCCCTGCTATTGTGAGTAGAGCATCAGTAACATGTATGTATAAGTTTGTGTTAAGATGTGGACTCCTTTGGGTGTATGCTTCTGAATTATTCTCCCTTTTGGATCACAAGAACAAAGACTACTGCTCTGTTGGACAGCAGACTGGATATATTTCCATAAGAACTGTATAGTCTTGGGTCTGTTTTGCTGTTGTTGCTTGAGACTCAGTCTAGCTGGTCTCTATTTCACAGAGATCCATTTGCTTCTGTCTCCAGAGTCCTAATATTAAAGGCATGCACTATCATGCCTGACTGACAATGGTATTGTTTTAACAAAATAGCTTACTCTTTTCATGACTGTTTCTTCAATAGTAAAGATGATTTGATTACATGTTGTGTTTTTTGCTACAGTAATAGCGCAACGCAATTGAAACTTTGGACCCCACTCCTCTTTCCCTGGTAACATTAGAAATAGAAATAGCAGCTTTGTCATTTCTTAGAATTGAATTTTGTTTTGTTCTAAATTCTATCTCTAGACCTATGTGGAGACCTGGCATTCCAACCTATCCAAAATGAGATGGGAGAGATTATCCCCTTAACGAAACAATGTAGTTGATTTTCCCAGAAGCCTTTTCTCAGTGCAAACACTTGCAGCTGCTTTCATTAGGAAGCACTGTGGAACACCTACCATGCAGCCTGCTTACTTTTGTAAGTGGGTCATTGTGACCCAGAGGATGGTGCTACCCTTTCCCTCTATAACTTTTCAACTTTAGGGGTACTTAAACCTTTATATTTTTCTTTTACTTTTCTTTATCCCTGTTTTAGTTTGCTTTCAATTGCTGTGACAAAACACTCTGACCAATGCCGACTTGGGGAGGAAAGAGTTTATTTTATAATATATCTCCCAGGTCACAGTTCATTACTGAGGGAACCCAAAATAGGAACTCAGGGAAGGAACCTGGAGGAAGGAGCTGCAGTACAGGCCATGGAGGAGCTCTGCTTACTGGCTTGCTTCCCTGGTTCATGCCCAGTCTGTTTTCTTATACAATACAGGACAACATGCCCAGGGGTGGTACCACCCACAGTGGGCTGGGCCTTCCCACATCACTCAAAAATCAAGAAAATACCCTAAAGACATGGCCACAGGCCAGTCCAATGGAGGCAATTTCCCAACTGAGGCACCCTCTACCTGATAGGTAAAAAGTTGGCAGAGAATGAGCGAATGGATGATGAGGCACTGAGGCACAGCTAAAACTCCATCAAAATAGGGTTTATTAGCAAAGGAACACATGGGACAGATTCCCTTCCGGACAGGAAAAATGTCTGCCTGGGTCTTGAGCTGGGGTCTTTTAAAAGGGAGGCTTCTGCCTCCAGCAGAAGGCAGGAAGATATATTTTTTTAAAGTTACGTGGGGGGGGAGTGGGAAAGTGGGACTCTTAAAACCT